CAGCATCGGCCAGCCCCTGCCTCTGCAGACACCCCGAATACTGCTGCGGTGCGCGAACCAGAGCTCCTCTACAGCCGTGAAGGAAGGACAGGGTGAAGAGGCTCTGCACCCCTTCCTCCCGCTGTGGCCTCGGCTCTGGTGGCCCAGGTGGCCCATAAGCTCACTGAGCAAGCATCTCTTGGGCCCACAGCACCAGCACGTGCGGCTGACGAAGGAATGGGGCTCGGGAGCGACCACGCAGCCTGTCCCCAGGGACGTGGGGACACAGGCTTATCCCGCCTGGCACAGCTAGGCTCCCTCTGCATCCTGCTATCACAGCCAAGGCAGGAGGTGGCATCACCAGGTGCATGCACTGCACCAGCTTGCCCCATTCTGAAACACTACTTAGTCACCTACCCTGGCCATTATCGGGAGAGGATGCTGGGCTAGATGAAAACAGCCTGCAAGGTATCACCATCCACAGGTTTCCAGTTCTTGCCCAGGCTTCGATCACTTTTAACCACTGTTAATGCAACATGCTTTTATCTGCAATGCAACCTCGTCCATCCAGAAAGGAGCTACAGACCCTCTTCATACACCACTTCCACCTCAGTCTGCACACAGCGGTGCCAGCACGCTCTCTCTCATATCAAATGCAAGAGACATGCCTTTGGCCAAGGTCCTTCACAGCCTGCCCCTACCCATCTCCCACCCTCCCATTGCCCAGGTACGTCTCCCGGCAAGCATGGCTTCAGCATCTCCACAGCTCCTCACAAAGAGCTGTGCCAACATCCTCCCTCCCGCTCATCGCAGACCCCTCTCTTGCTCTAACGCCTACAGAGAAGTTGACGACAGCTACGCTGCTAACATGCTACAAGTGTTGTCTACCAAACTGACTATCACTCTCTCATTGTTTCTTCATCCTCCTCAGTCTGTCTACATCCATCTGCCTGCACTCACCTCATCCCTATGTTAGGTCTGTCTTTTGCTTCTGTCATCGTACAGTGTGCAGCATAACAGCATCTCTATCCATGGTTATCGCTTCTGGGGTCTATACTAATATCAGTCATCTACAACAGCAGTAGAATACGTGCTGCTAATAATTACTGGGTTTAAGTGTGCTACTTCTCTCCCCTTCAAGTTGGCAATGTCCCAAGACTTTTGGTAGCACAATGTCCTTTGTGAACATTTTGGTAAACGCCAAGACTTTTCTGTCCACTTTGAAGTAAAACAGAATTGTCTTTTCTAATAAACATTTTTGTGCACGCCCATTTCAAAATGGTCTACTGAAATTCAGTGGGAAAAATCTATAAGAAATGCCACTGCCTGTGGATGCCAAAAGGTACAAGGCAGTGAAGCTGACTGACTAGTTTTACCTGGTCATTTTGTTATCGCTGGCAATCTAAGAAATCAATTTCCTCACTTTGTAGAATAAGTCTGCTAGCACTAAAAAAAGGGAGTTAATTTTGATTTTCCTTAAATTCTTAAATGCCAGGTAAGAGTCATGTTTCAACGTCATTACCCTGACAAAAGATGAAAGTAGGACATACTGCTGCTAAAAGCCACACACCATAGACGCTGAATACTTTTGCACTCTCCTCTCATTCAAACCTGCCCATCAGCCACAGGCCTAAAGATCTCACATGCACCGCAGCCCCAGGAGGGGTCCCACAGTCCCATGCCCTACGCTAATCCCTCATAGCACTAGAAAATGCTGCACCTAGGAACAAACATTTCACTGCCCAAGAGCTTAGGCATCACTACAGAAAACGTGGAGTTCATCCCATTCCCGTGACTTGAGACACGCGCAGCCTGCACCGTAGCACAGAGGAACCCGCTCCGTGCAGCTGTTTTCCCAGAGGAAAACACCGGCACCCTTAATGCACAAAAAGAAGCAGAAACCCAGGCAGCGGTCGACCTAGATGTGCACGCCTGTGCCAGTGAGCAGTCACGGCGGAGGGACCCGAGCCGTGTTCCCCGAGTCATCTCAGAGACATCTCGCAGCATGTTCAAAGCGGAGCCGGGGCTCCCCCTGCCCTGCCCTCCTGCAGGCTTCGCCGCAGCATCCCTCCACGGGGTTGCGGCTCAGCCCTGGAGCCCCCGCCGCCCCCAGGGCCCTGCTCCCGCCAGATGTTTGCCTTTTGTCTTTCTGCTCAGCCAGCTTCCTTCCCAGAGAGGAACCCATGTCCCGCCACTCTGCCCCGCGCTTTCCACACGCCTGGCTTTCTGTGCCCCTCTCATCCTCAAGCAGGCTGCAGGGACGGGTGTTGAGCATGCACATACACACGCTCCAGCCTCACCCTCTCCAAGCAAAACAGCAGCAATCTGTGCCGGGTGGGTAAGTTGCACCGCCACCAGCCTTCAGAACCGTCATCTCTCCGAACGGGCAGCCGGCACGAGTCCCTCACACGCGCGCACACACGCGCGTCCTCGCGCTCTCCCTCTGTGACTGCCTCCTCTTCTTCCCTTCCACTGCATTGCTACAGGGAGCAGCCTCAGAGGCGGGCTGAGGTCTCCTCTCCCGCGGGCTGATCTTCAAAGCGCCAGTGTCACAGCCAGCGATGCCACACCGAGGCAGGGAAAGGGCTGGCCAAAGGAAATGCACATCAGCATCCTCTCGGCAGAAACGAACGGGCAGTAGCAGCACAGTATCTCACTGAGATGCCATTTCTTAGTGGCAAGGGACACGTTAAAAAAAAAAGAAATAGCATGAAGGGTTTTTTTTTTTTTTTAAGTGGAGCTTCAAGCACAGAGATTAAGTAAATATTTAATGACACGCATTTATGGTTACCACACATTCTTAGGGGAAGTCCTCAGATGCTACTGCTTGGATCTCCTCATCACAGGCATCTTCAGCCCTCCCTTTAGGAAATACAGTCCCTAAATGGCACGGCTCACAATACTGTGATTCATGTTTCCTGGCGTCAGGAAAATGCCAAGAGCTTTTCAGATTGCTGCCTGGATAGTCTTATGCCACTAGACGAAATCTTCATGAGTCGAATGTGAACCCTAACAACAATTTGTCTCGTGTTCCTGCCACTCAGCAAGAGGAAGACGGGGACTTGCTTCTTCCCATGAAGAAGAATTTCACCTGGTGGGACAAGCCCTTTGGGAGAACGTGTCCTTCCCTTCTGCTTTACATCTGTGGCTCCATCCAGCTCATCTGTTGCTGTTTTATATGTTAACTGAAAACTTACAACCCTTTCCTGCCTCTCTGTTGCAGAGCATATGTGCCCAGAAGCAAAGACAGCTCCACAGCACCGTGCAGACCTGTACAAGGAGCTAAGACGGGAACCCTGAACCTGACAGATGAACAGCTCTAGCATTGCCACGAACACTGAGGAGGAGGAAGCACAGAGCTCGGGCATATGTCCAAGGTAACTCAGTAGACCTAACACCTCCTTTGTGTTTCATGGAACAGCTGGCTCACAGATGAAAGTGGCCTTGAAACTACAGCTGAGTAGGATACAAGCCAGACAGATGATGGCACATGTCTAGTCAGAGGGCAACAACAAAAACAAAAGCAAAAAAAACAAGAAATCAAACCATCCCTTGCTGTGAAGATGTAGCTCTGCACAGTGGGTTTCTGAGGGAATCATGTAATACAGCAAAAAGGAACCTACCTGGAAGCCCTGGAAATCTCCTCCAGTCCTACATCCTTCTTCAATAAGAAACGCCCAAAGCATCTCTGCACTTTCTTCCGCAGCACAGGGCCTTCTAAGCGCGGGCCCATGAGGTGGAGTCTCTCCACATCACCACTCTCTGTCCCTGGAGCCCCAGTTCTACACTGACTCTCCTAGGAAACCAGTCGAGCTCAATGTGGGGGCTGAGGAAGCCTTCATGTTGCCTAGCTATCTGAACACTGCTGAGCATGTTAGCGCCATCAAGCTGTGCACACAACTCCTGGCAATGGCCAGCCCTGCTGCTGGTGCCCCTCCTTGTTCCCACTTCCACCCACGGTTCCCTGCACGCTTCTGGCCCTTGCCTCTGAGGAACCAGCACAGTCACCAGGGCACCACGTGCTGTCTCAAGGCACAATTATTAAGTAGTAGTGGAAATTCTCTGGTAGCCCCAGGCCACTCTACAATTATTTTTCTTAATTTCTTAGATGAGCAACAAAGTTGGGGGATCACCGCAGCTGTCTGGGGAAGAGCAATGCGAAAGGACATCCAGCCAATGAGTGCCCAGGGACTAGTCACCGTCAGCATCCCTGACCCTCCAGCACCGACCAGCCGTGCCTGGGCAGGGTTTCACCAGCTGCAGAGCCTGGGAGCTTTCGTGGGTGCCTCTCCTTCCAGGGAATGCCACAGCGTGCAAATCGCACCTTCTCGCCACATTCCCTGCCCTCTAAACAGACAGAAGTCCTTTTCAACTCCTGCACAGTTAATCTTTACACATGCCTTGATAACTGCCCATGGTGTGGGGGGGGATACAGGATACCAAGAGCACTCTGCACGCGTGAATCATACCAGCAAAATCCTGACCCACACACAAGGGTTAAAGCCGGGGACAAGGCAATGAGTGCAAAGCAAAGGCGGGCTGCAGGCTCTGCGGCGGGCTGGCGGAGGGGAGGGGAAGGCCCGCTCCTCAATGTGCACCATTGTGCTCTTGAGCATTCGGTGACTCATCCATGCCAGAGAATAAAGCATCTCTTCAGCTGGCCCATCATGTGTTCCTTCTGCCTCACCACCCAGGGAAAGCGAGCCCTGAGCTCCTCTGCAGAGCCCAGTCCAATTGCGCACCCATTCACCAAGCACACGTAAGTGGTGCAACTCTATTCCCACGCCAGCACCCAGCAGCAGCTCAGTGGGGACCTTCAGCTGCCCCCAGCTAAACTACCTCAGGCTTTGGCAAGCACCGTGCGCTCTTCAGGGGTGATGTGCAGCCTAGCAAGTGTGGAAGGCTGAAACATACCAAGACCTGCTATTCTCTCTGTGATAGACCACGTCTCATCGGGACAGACCGTCAGTGCTGAACATGCTACTAGGGCTTCGAGCTCTTGGGCTAGACTATAGCCTTACCTTTGTATGGAGTTTGGCAAACTGCTTGTCATCCAGCAAACTCTGGGTGTACACACGCCTTTTGTACCGGAACTGCAAGAGGGAAGAATGTCAGATATATGAGATGGACAAAACCCACTATTATCATCAAACACCTCTTGAGCAATTCCAATAAAGGATGCCTTGCATGAAGACATTCAGTCTTGATCTGAAAGTCCACTCTTGTCTTTCATAATTTCTTCTAACAGTTAATTGCTTTCCTCACTAAAGAATTCTGACCAATTTTTCATACAAGTCTGTCTGGTTTCATCTTTCAAAAGGTGTAGGGTTTGTTCTGTTTGTTCTGCTTCTCTGCAATAAATTAGGAAACTCTCTAATAGCAGATTTTTTTTCTCCCCAGGAAAGTTTTTACACAAGTAATCTAGAGTCAACCTTCCTTTAAGCAGATTGAGCTCTAAGCTCCTCACTGAAGAAGCTTATTTTCTATTCTCAGATCATTTCTGTTATTCTATGCCATTCCTCTTTCCAGTGCCCTTTCAAATACATTGACTTTCCCCCCAGCACTGCTCCAGTTTCAACCTCTTCCACTCCAACTAGTCCTGAAACCAACTCACTACTTGCCAGCGTATGCATTGAAGGATTACAGGATTGCTTTTTGCCACAGCATTACACTGGGAATTCATTGGAATTCATTTTGGCTTGCTTGACCAACAGACTCTTAACATTTTCTTCAGAAACTTTGTTTTCCAGAATGAGAGCCCCTACTTTGCTAACAATCCTTGTCCCCGTATGTTTGTCATTTGGCTGACTTAACGTATACTTCAACGGTCTCTCATACCAAATGATCTAGACAACGCTATCTGCATCATTATATTCTCTGCCAAACTTTGTTTCATTGTCAGACTCTATCAGCAGTGATTTCGCACTTACACCTAGACCCCTGGTATAACCATATCAAGCTTGATGTTGGTCCCTAAGAAACTGCACTAGAATTACCTCTGTGCAGTGATGATGCCAAAGACAACTACTTTTTGTCATTGGTTAGTTAGCCAGTAACACATGTTCTACTGACGCATTATAGAGCTAAGTCTGAATTTGAATATCACGTAGAACAAAATCCAGCACCCTCAAAAGTCTAACTATGTTACCTTTATATAGTTATCTTTGTTAAGCAGAAATGTGATTTCCTTAAAGAATGAAAAAATGGTATTTGTTTGATGAGATGTTTTTTCCATGCATTAGCTGTATTCCTAGATTTTTTAATTGCTATGAATGTAATCCTCCATCAACATTTCATTATTTTGGCTTGAACTGGTCAAAGTTGCCTTGGCCTAAAGTAGCCAAGCTCATCCAATTTACTTTTAAATATTGGCAAAACATCAGCACATTTTCAGTCTTCTGCAGTTTCCCTTGCAATCCAAAACTTATTACAAACTTGTATTATTGGGTAGATGTTTCTTCACACTTTTTTTTCACCATTCCAAGGTAAAAATTGTTGGGCCTGCTGATTTGCAAATGTTCATCACTTGCAGGGGGATGCTGCCAGATGTCAGGGTCCACCTGCACATCCCTGCGCAGTGCCACGCTGTGTCATGTAAGTGCACTCTCAGGGGCTCCTCCTCGTCCTCTGACACCAAATTACGAGAGGTTGCAAATGATTCTCGCTCCGAGCCTCTGCCTCTGAGCCTTCTGCAGAGCTCTAGCCTAGGAAAGGCATCGCTTCCCTGCTGACTGTTCGCTTCCGGCCTCCTGCCTGAACACCCCAGCTCAGGTGGGATTGTAACAACCCCCTGCTGCTCTCCCAGCCCTCAGCCTTTGGGAAAGTCCTGCAGCTCCCCCAGATCCCAGCTGCAAGTTGCGCCACTCTGCACGGGTTGCGGCCAAGGCTGCTGCATCAGTGGCTGTTGGTGCAATGGCAATACACAGCTGCTACCCAGGGATGATTTTTGTTCAGGGCAAAATCATCCTTCAAAAAGAGTTAAGTTGTAGGACACAGTTTGCTGCTCGCAACTAAGCGGATAACAACCAGTAGTCTCCTGCGGGATATAGTAACACAATCAACTGCCAGGAGAGCAACCGGACCTCATCACTTGGCAGGTAGACTCCACTGCATGTTGTCTGATCACCAGCATGCTTCATTGTCATTGCTATTTTAATCCCAGTAAAGGAATCTGGAGTACCTACAGTGATCTGCAGCAGAGAGTGAAGCCAGCATCTTGCCTCGCAGGAGAACTCCTGCAGACATCTTCTTTTTAACTCCATCTTTTTTCTGTCATTATACACAAAAACTCATTTATCTGATGACTTTCACGTGCAGCCCCAAGGGCTAGTCTGTCTCTGGGGCTCAAGAAACCTCAGTGGTATCAGCATAGGATTCATGTCTCGTAAATAGGTTCTGGACTTTTCGTTTTCCAATACGATTCTCAAGCGGTCAGCTGCCGTTCTTATCAAGTTATGAAGAATCAATGTGACACACAATAAATATCCACGTCAAGTCTGCATTGAGCTGTGCGTGTTAAGACATTAAGTACGGACATTCTGCTAAATCCTACAAAAATAAAGCATTAACGCCTATATGAGGAACATTAGGGAATTTACTACTTCATAGGTTTATTTGCAAGCATTTTTAATGTTGTTCCAAATGTTTCTGTGTATATTAAATGTTTGTTTGCTAAGAAATTGTGCTCTTTCCAAATTAGCCAGGATTGGTTATAACAACTGCATTCATGTTTGCATTTATAAGAACACGCACAGTTTAACTGTTTAATGCTTTCCAAATAGACTCTATGGGTAGAATACAGCTATGAGATCCCTAAATGCAGAGGTCCACATGCAGGTAGCTGAAGTCCCATTATAGCCAATGGGGATCTCTGCGGCCACCGTTAACAGAGCCTAAAAAATGCTTCAGCTCACCGTAAAATAGACATCCACATTTGACCAACTGAACCCTAGTCCAAGACAAAACCTATACTGTATGTCAGCAAAGAGTTAATTCTATTAATTTAGTTAATTTCTGTTCCAGAAAATTTAGTTAATTTTCTGCAACAGAAAACATAACAGAGTCAAAAAAGAACATTTATCCTGCATGCTTATCACATAAATGAGGTCCGTACAGGAACAGTCAATTGCTGTTAAAGCACAGTTGTGTTCTAGTCTCTACACTAGCTATAAATTAAATAAAATATTGGATTCAAGTCCTTCAGCCTCTTATTCAAAGGTCTCCTTAGGATTTTCCTTCTGTACCTATGACAGTGACTTTCCATCTGAAACTTTAACTTCCCATGACAGTTATGACAGGAAAAAAAGAAATTTTGGATCAACAGGGTCACAAAATAGGGAAGCTGTTTCACAAGGCTATGACAGATGTTATGGAGCTCTCTACCAGACAGACTCATGAACAACTAAAACTAAAACTCAGAAGCATTTGTTTCAGCTTTCCCTCAATGAATTCTCTGTGAGTAAACACATATACCCACACAAATCTCTATGCTTTCACTCCTGGAAGCAAAATGCTAAAAAAAAGGAGGCCTGGAGGGTCTTAATATCTGTAGTGTATTTAGAGACTGAAATGGACAGGATCATATAAGTCCTATGCATACATACATACATATGTGTATATATATGTGTGTGCATATATATACACACATATATACATACATATGTGTGTGTGTGTGTGTGTGTGTGTATATTTAAAAAACATATAGCTACCTCCAAGTAGGGGACAGGAGTGTCTGGGTTCAGGGGGTACTCCCTCAGCAGGCGCTCCTCATCCAGAAACTTTCCAGCCCTGCCGTTGAAGGCTGGCTGGAATAGTCCATAATTCAGAACATCCTTCAGGCTGTGGTTCAAAGTGCAGAGAATGCGCTGTTTGGAAACCCATACAGGAACATCTGGATTTAACCGTAGACACTTCTATGGAGAGAAATAGAGGGCAATTAGAGGCAAGCATCATAAGGGCCCTGTAATCTGTAATCACACCCAGGAACAACACTAGTGATAACCAGGAGAAGGATAAAATGGGAAAGCTACAATCTTTTCCATGTCAGTTGATTAGTGGAGGGAAAAAATAAGATTTCTACAATTACAGAAGGGTAAGACTTAGCAGATCCCCCTCTAACCCGTCTGGTGGGGCTCAGGGCAGAATCAAACAAATTGTATAAAATCTCATAAAAATATGAGAAATCTTGAAGAGATAGCAGTTCTGAAAATTAATGGCAATATAATAGCAACACTCCATTTAAATACCCTTCTGATAGGATGTAAGGAGTCTACTGAACACCGTGGAAAGATGTGCAAATAAAGGAGTGGTAAAACAGAGTCATTGTAAACCCTGTCTGGAACTCAAGGAATCCAGCAAGCTCTTCAGTTATTTGGAGAAGAGACCCTGAGGAGCAAAACAGCATTCGAGTGCTAAAAATCATATTCCTAAATTTCATCCCACAACACGCAGTGAGTTTCCCTTGTTCTGTAAACAGCTTCCCTCCCTCCTCAGGACTCAAGCTATCAAATATTTATAGCCCATCATTTTAAGGCTGTATTTCCTACAGCTGCGGCACTTTGTTTTAGTGCCCCCCCACCGCCCCCGAGCCCTGCCCCGAGGCTGGGGACCCGCTTGCCCGCTGCGGCGCTGGCTGGGCTGGCAGGCCGTGGGAACCTGCCTCTGCCCGGAGCCTGCTGCAGTTTTGCAGCACGGATACAGGTGCTTCGGTACCTTTGCTGCTTCCCTTTCCTTGTTTCAGAGCAACAACAGGCTCTGCACAACATCCACTCTTGCAGACAAAGAACAGAAAAGCAAAAGGACCTCCACAGTGGTAAGACCAGAGGTCTGTCTCACCAACGGCCTGTCCCCCTTGGTAACCACAGTTTCCCCACCTAGGCCCCTTTTTTTTTTTTTTACGTTTTGGCCTTTAATCTTCCCTCATTCTAGTCACTTTATTCTCTTCATTTTCTTCCCCCCTCCACACTTTCTGGGGAAGGAGAGAAGAACATTTAGTCCTGCCTTAGCATTTCATTTAAGTCAGTGCCCAGTCTCACTTAAGACTCCTGATTTTTTTGTGTTGGAAGACAAAGTGAGCAATCACCCCCTGTTTAGTTCCTTCCTGCCTCTACAATACTCCCCCAACGGTCACTGCTTCTCCAACCCAAGAGTCCTAGCCCGCTCCTACAGAGGCGCACCATACTTCTGCCCATTCTTGTTATGTTTTCTAGACCACTATCTCGCTCTTGAAATGGGAGATTAGAAGTGCACACAGCAGTCAAGGGGTAGGTACAGCATGGATTTATACTGTGGCATAACCATATTTTGCTTACCAATGTGTTGAAGATTTGAGGCCTGAACAGAGATGTCTACTTTGATTTCCCAAAAGAAACTAACAGACAGATCTCATCCCCACCTTCTCTGCGTGCTCCACAGCTCTTCCAAAGAGCTCTAGCAGATCCACAGTGTCTGAATTCCTTCTACTACCAGTACGTCGACTCCTCCCAAAGAGACAGAGAAAATGAGCATTCACTCTAGGACATCAGAAGAAACTCTGCACGTCCTCGCTCACTCCTTCCAGTAGCCCCACTTCCAACAGTAAAATTTAACCCAAGAGGCTGTTTTGGTCCTCTCTCTCCTTACTAGTATCTGTTCAGTTCTGTGAATTAAACATATACTGTTTTGAAAAATTAAACAGCTTTGCCCGGAAAAAAGTAAATGATCTTGCTGAGGCACAGGGTGGGAGGCAGCAGAGCATCCGTGTCGGACTGCAGTGTGCCAGTCCCGGTCGTCTCCGCACCGTCATCCTGAACAGTTATCATGTAACACACAGCCACCGCGCTGATGTGACATCTCGTTTTTCTCAGGCAAGGATAACTTGCACTTGGCAGCATGTGTTTGTACTGCAAACAGAGGTCAACGTTATCTATTTCATCGCTGACCATTAGCAAGTCAGCAAGCCTATTAGCTGTTGCTTTGTCCTAGAGCAGATACTAAGGAAGAGGAGGCAGCTTGCTGGTATGAGAAATGAGGAGTTCAAAACCTTCGAGAAATGTCAGCTTAGTTCTGTTCTAGTCCACAAAGAGAAGTAGAATATGAATCAGTTTTTCAGGGATTCTTAAATAAAAAACCAAACACCGCCTGTACCTTCCTACATGCTTATTCAGCCTCTAGGGCTCTTTCTCACTGTCAAATTATGCTTTTCAGACAAAAATATGAGGCTAGCAGAAAGACCATGGACAGAAAAACACACACAAATGTGCACAAGTACAAGCATCAACGGAACGAAGGTTCCAGCATAAAAATCGCTGAATTTTATAACAAACTTTACATTGCAGAGATACAGTCTGTAGAGTACTAACATTTCATATTTAAGAGAGCAAACAACTTCCATCTTCTAATGTGTCTCTTCCATTCTCTAACTTGTGTCAGAAATCAGAAGGAAGAAGATGCCTACTTCAGCTATTAGGTCAAAGTTCTACACAATCCCTTGTGGGCATAATCCAGTTGTTTAAATGTCTACTTATGACTCTGTTTCTCCAAATACTATCAAATGTAATAATGACTTTCTCATATCAGAGTTCCTACAACTAAATATGCTTATTCCACTCCATGAGGTAGCACATCCACTCCAGGAGCAATCCAAAACATGAGACTAATCCCACAAACCCCTGCCAGAAGAGCTGCAAGGGAAATCTTTATGCAGCCTTAACTCTAAAGTCTGCTTTGATCAACAGGAGAAAGCTGCTGTATGCATGGGGAGACCATGTTAAGTTTGCTCTCGGAAACACAGCAACAAGGGCTCCCCCAGTTTCTGTTTCACAGGAGAGGTGCTCTCATCCAGCCTCCTGCATGGCCAGGACAGCACCAGCAGCTCCCAGATCAGCAGCAGGCTCTTCCCAGGCAGAGCAGGAAAGGTTTGGCTGCCTGAGCTGCAAATGCTGCCACAGCAGATGGTCCCCATCTCCATCTGGAAAGGAGTGCTGAGCTCAAATAGCAGGGGGGGGTCCTGACACAGCAGGTCTGGTCCCCCACTGCAGGCACTGCCAGCCCGTCCTGGGTGGCACAGCGCCCACAAACGGCCGCTGCTCCCTGGCAGGAGGTGGAAGGCACAGGAGAGGGAAGCAGGGCCAGAAGAAGATAGGAATAGCAGCAGCATTCAGAACAAGTTGTTAACTTTCGTTCATAGTCACAAGTGATAATTTTTTCCATTCAATTACAAGTTTGCGATCACAACAATCAAAGCCTTAGAAACAACTCCCGAAAGAAAATGATACAGATTCTCAACTTTTAGACAGCATGGATGACTCCTTCCTGAAGAAAGAGCTCACAGGACTAGATTCAATCCTGAGCAATGCACAGGATGATAGACAAGATCTATTCAAGAGCCACCCTGTAATAATGACAATAAAGAACTCAAACTCAACAATCCCATAAGAGCAAAAAAGCCAAAAAATATTCACTGAAGTGCACAAAAATGAGAAAGATTTGAAAGGAAATTAAAAGAAGTAGCTGAAAAGGTAATGTGCTTGCAGGCAGTAGGGAGTATATTTCATTATATCACGTTAGAAGCTTAGAGTAAACGTATGGCAAAAATGAAAAAACAGCCACTAAGAGGTCTCCACAAAAAAGATGGAACAGTCAAATAATCAACAGAGCAAAGGAATCTATTGAAAGTAGAAAGATTTCCTTTAATAGAAGGAAGAAAGTAGAAGCTGCTTCTGAATGAGAACAGAAAAGTGCATAACTCTTGACAAGCTACATGCAAAATGACAACGATTTTAAAGATATAAAAATTAACAAATGCACAGGCAGAAGGGAGCCTGACGGAAAGTAGGTGAGGCCAAAGTAGGTGAGGCCAGCAAGTGATCAAGAGGCAAGAGTCACTCAAGAAAGAGTCCCTGAGGCTCCCCCCGTAAGGACTGGCTGCAGTGGGACCCTCGCTGATCTCCACCACAACAGATGCCGATGCAAAAGGACTCACAGACAAGGAATAAAAACTCTCTCCAGCGGCAGCGTGAATACCGCAGATTTGAGAGTACGCCTGCAAGCAGTGCCAGATCACCTGGGCCAATGGTGTTCAGCCAGGAGGTCTGAACGCGTTCCAGCGCGAACCCAGCAAGGTGCTTGCTGTGCTTGGCAGCGTGTCGTGCAAACCAGCCATGCTGAGGGAGCACAGGACAGGCGACAGTGATCTTTAGACAGGGCTCGGCGATGTTTTGTGGCTCTGGAGAACAAAAGGATTGAACTTTATCCTAAATAAGTGGACAGGAACTAAAGCAAAAACAGAACTAATAAGTGTGGAGGTCAATATTTATGTTGCTGAGAGCGCCACTTATTCTCTGTGAAGTTCTGCCTCCAAAATCTACCAAGAGAGCTTGGAGGAAACCTACAGGTGCGAGAATAAGACTAGCTTGCTTAGCAATTTGTACTTTCATTTTCAAACCATTTTCAGCAAGGTCCCTTGCCAAAGGCTCCTAGGAAGCTAAACTGCCTCAAGCAAGAAAGTGCTCTTTTGGATTAATAACTGACTAGGAAGATGGAAAACAAAGATTAAGATTAAGCAGGTAGTCTTCCTGATACAGAAGTTTATTAGCAAAGTCACATAGGACCTGTGCTGGGATTTGAACCAAAATGACATAGAAACAGCCATTACGATACTCATAAATTGGCAGCACATCAAGATCTTCTGTATCAAGTGTGGCTCTGGTTATCCCATCTTTTCAGGAGACAACAGAAACAGGAAAAGTAAAAGGAAAGAAGACAAAGGTGACCAGAGGCCCAGGGCAATTTCTAGGGGACCAACAGTGCACACTAAGTCAGAGCTCTCAGCCTGAATGAGAAATGGCCTGGAAGGAATATGCAGAGCTCCACACATCTCAAGCCAAGCAATCACGATGGGAGAACATCAATTCCTCGTAATACAGGCACCGGG